GTAACACCCCCGATTTACTAACTAATAATAAATAAGAAATAAAGGAAAAATAAACAACCTTTAACTAAAATTGCGGAAGAATATACCTAAATCGAGGTATCACCGCCACACTCAACCCTGTCAAGTGTTAAGGCTTACAAAATCCCAATAATTACAACCCAATAAACTAGGTGAGCTATTTATACAACTTTATAAGCTCATGACATCACACTAATCGAAACACTTGAACTCCTTTAGCTACGACCACTTGATCAACCTGCTTAGAATATCTTGACTGCTCACCATTAAGGACAAATTCCAAAATAGATCGTCGCAAGGCCACCATAAGAAAAAGACATGGCCGCAAACACAAGTAGCACAACAAAATAACACACACGTCAGCAAAAGCTGAGTAATCACCACATATCAGAATATAGAGTATAATTGAATAATAGACAATACTAGCTCAATTAAACAATGTAGTTCGAAGCTACATTACACATTGTACACTGAAAAAAATAACCTTTATTAACTCAACCTCGAACAATAATAATCCTTTACTCGACTAACTCGTAACCAATAAGTGTGCCATGCTCTTTGTTCTATACCTAGCCTTGGACATGGGTAATTCAAATAAAACCAACAAGTATAAAAACTTGAATACTCCCAATAACTAGAAAACACCTTGAACCAGACCACATATGGGTCAATCCCACTGTAGGAGACCATAGAAAATAAATAAATAAAGATTGTACACCTCATTCTTAACTCATGATCATTATCTCATTACCAATATGCCAAGGACTAAGGTCTATAACGCCGAGTCTCAAACCAATAACAAAATAATAATCTCAACCTTTTGATCTCATACATCGATCAAGTAATCTTTCACATGATAATAAATTCTCAATATTGGCACATGTTCCCAAATAACATGACAATTTGATTCATAAACATCTCAACTCTTAGAGAAATAATACTTATAACCCAAATATAATCAAATCTCAACCCAAAAATAATACTCTACATTAACAACCCTAAAACCTCAATATAACAATACTCCCCATAACAACAACATTAAAACCCTAGCAATAATTGTACAATCAATATATACAACAAAAATAAATAATACGATACTCAAATCTAATCAAATCATATAATACCATAATAATTAATCATATATACAAAAAGTACAAATAATAAATCATATCACACATAACAATACGAAAATACAAACATCTCAAAAATATAGTGTGATTACCTTTCCGATCAATACCCAAACAATCGAAACACTGTTATGAAATTACCATGCTAATGCTTCAAATGCGTGAAGCATTAGCATGAAAATTAAGCATTAGCATGAAAATAATAATTAATGCTATTGCTAATGCTTCAAATGCGTGAAATATTGGTTGCGAAGCCGATCTATCAAACTAATAAATATGATCATACATATAGGGCTGCCAGATGAAACTCTCCACTACACCATAGAAGAATAAAGTAAAACAAAAGTAGTTTAAAGAATAATGGCTATAAATCTTCAAAACTCACGGCAGCTATCTTTTTTTTTTTTCTTTTTTTTCTTTTTCTTTTTTTAATAAAATAACAATGTAGGGTTAAAGGATATAAATACTATTAAATAAGATAAGAAAATAAAATTTAAAGTATACAACTCTAATTTTATAATTTGTAAAATCATAAAATATACGGGGATTACACGATGCCCCGAATTGCTAACTTGTGTACTTCTCGCTTTAATTTAATAATTATGTTGGACTATTTGTGTAGTTAGTGTATGTAGTGGTTCAGGGATTGATGTCACTTTTTTTTTTTTTTTTTTTTTTTTTTTTTACATTATATGTATTTATATTTTAATCTTGTGAAAAATAAATGAATTATATTACCTCTAATTTACTTAATAAATGAAAGGAATATTATAATATTATGTGAAACTTGAATCATTAATAATAGTTAGTTGAAATGGTAAAAGTATTACCTATATATATTGGAGTTTATGGATTCGAATCTTGTTAATAGTTAGTGTATGTAGTGGTTAGTGGCACCGTTCCTGTAAAAGGAACGCCTTTTGATAGATAGTATAGATTTTGACATTACCACTTGATTTTTTTTATATATTTTTTAATCGTATCACATTTTTTCTCCAAAACGTTTAAAAGTACCACCACTTTTCTGTGTGATGTCATCATGGGTCCCACTTTTTTCATTTCCCCTCTCTTTCTCCTATTTTCTCCCCTCTTTCTGCCTATTCATCTTGCAAATTTGATTTTAAATATAGCATTTTTGCAAATTAGGAATTAATTTCTGCAATTAAACCTTCAACGAATTGAATTGATTAGTGTAATTAGGGTTTGGGTAATCAATTTGGGGTTTTGCTCAATTCAAAAAGTTAGGGTTTATGAATTGATTAATTGGATGAATATTGGACAATTAAAACATGTAATTGGGGCGAAAACACAATTAAAACATGTAATTGGGGCGAAAACACTAACACAATCCCATGATGACGTCACTCAGAAAAATGGGGTACTTTTTAGCGTTTTGGAAAAAACTAGGTGATACGATTAAAAAAAAAAAATTGAGGTGGTAATGTAAAAATTCACTACTTAACATGGTGGCATTTTTCAAATTTTAACAATAACGAGCAAGCCTTTATAAAATTTATTGGTTTTCCTTGATTAACCCCAATATTAGGGGTCGTTTGGTTGGATCATATGGAATGGGTTGGTTGGAGTTAGTATCCATTCCATAATCCATCTAATTTTTTTGTTTGGTTGAGGTTTTAGTAATGTATCCTCATACCCAAGGGGGTTCTAATTCCCCCCTCCCCACTATCCATGAAATCCCATACCCACCCCTCCCCTCCCCCTAGGATTTATAATCCATCCTATAAATAAAGGATATTATCCATTCCTATAATAAAACCAAATAACTTTAGACTATTAAGGGTTTTAGATTCCATACCTCTTTAGTATGAGATTCCATACCTATCAATTCCAATTTGATGAACCAGACTCCCCTTAGATAGATAGCAATTTTGCGTTTAAAAAAAATGAAATTCCTACCGAACATATACAATAGTTTTGTAATTAAGTTTTATTTTGACACAAATTGTAAATAATTTATAAACTTCCTTGTTTTTGTAGATACACTCAAAATAGAGACTAGCTATTTGAATATAACAATTATTAAAGATGGGAAAATTCTTTAAGAGAAGGGAGAGAAACATTGGTAACATACGGGTGAAAGAGGCACATGAAGATATATAAGTATGTAATAAGAATATCAAGTGATACAAATTATTAGAGAAGAAATAAGCCAAATAGCTGTTTCGGGTCAGACTAGAGTTATAGGTTGTGGTGGATCCGAGTTCAACGCAACTTCAATTTGGATTCCAGTTTTATTTAAGCGGGTTTGTAATAAAAAATTCACAAATTTTGGACTCGGATCAAATTTGACTCAATTAGTCAATTGTCATATGTAAATCCCCCCTCCAATTAGTAGATCGATGTTCAACCCATATAATCACAAATTGCACCATACCCATCCATTTTCCTTCCTATTCTATCTTTGCCTTATTATATTCAGTAAGACATAAGACTAACCATTGGTGGCACATGACGACAAAAGGTCATGAAGGCGACAAAGATATATAGTAGATCTGCATGCTCGCCATAAATAGTTATATGCTTATAGCTCTACCAAAGTATGAGAATGAACAAGGAAGAAAATTTATGAGAATGAATATGTGTTTCTTTTAACATTTGTGAATACCATAAGGAAATTACAATATTTTATATGCCTCATTGTGCTTTATCTTTTTATTTTCTGAATACCATTATAACGAAATATGATAATATTTAGATTATTGATCCTTCTGATTATTGTAAACATGATAAATTACTCAAACTTGTGAAATCAATTATAGCAATTTCCATCCAAATTATATTAACATGATCAATGAGTAGCACCACCTACAAATAATAGCATGAGCAATACCAAATCTTGCAATTGGGGCAATGTATTGCATCAATTTTATTTCTAATAGTCTGAAAAAGCACCAATAATGATCATTTATAAGGTTGTGAATGTCATTTATGACACTCGTTGCACGCCTGCACCCATTGCAAAAGTTGGTGCACCATTGCAAAAGTTGGTGCTATTTTAGCTACTATTCATTAGAGGTGGTGGCATGGAACAAGCGAGATATTGTTGATTGCATTTAAGCTATAATTTATATTTTTTTGAGCTATAATTTGTACGTTGAGGCTAATTTTAGCATTGATTCACATTTTGTCTTTTTAATAATTTTTTTTAGCACTATTCTATGAGGATATTTAAGTAATCTTATGTGGACACCATTTACCACTCCACTATTCATTCCTTTTTATTTAATGCATTTTCTTATATTTGATTCATTATTAATTATTTTCTTATTTTTAATGTGTAATATAATATGTAGGAAATTTTGCGAACAATTACTTTTTTTATTTGAAACCACGAACAATCACTTTATAAATCCCCATTTTGAAAAAAAAATCCACCTTTGATCTGTTTCTTAAACTATGAAAATTTTAAATTTATCTTAGAGTATTTTTTTTTAAAAATAATAAAACAAATTTTGTCAAAAAAATAGATAATCTTGGAAATGAGTGGATAAATTAATTGGTCACACAATTTATGCCTTCAATTTCTTTATGGTAAAGAAACTACCAATTTCCCACCGTAACCATGTCCCAAAGGAAAATTCTCTTCATCCTAACTTTTTCATCAAGAAACACATATTTTTGAAATTGAAAAATAAAATTATACGTACATTTAAAAAAATAAAAATAATCAAATCAACGGTAAAAAATAAGCCACCTCAAAATCTCCTACTGATTAACGCTCCTGATCTTCCATGAAAGTGATAAAAACCCGCCGCTTCAAAAAATATATTAAAAAAAAATTAAACGTCGAAAATTAGGTTGCTCTATAATTTAATTACGGAGTATTTTTGTATATTTATATAAACCCTCAACTCATTTCCATTAATTCTCAAAACCCTCATTTTCTCTCTCTTCAATCTCCATTTTTCTCTCTCCTCTGAACTTTCTTCGTCTCCATTAACAATGGCGAAAGGACCTGGACTATACAGCGACATTGGAAAGCGAGCTCGAGGTCTTCATTTTCTCTCTCCTCTTATTTTTCTGCATTTTCTGATATTTTTCTGGATTTTTTCAGGCTTTTAATTTTGTGATTTGGTTTGATTTTTGCATTTATTTTTTGAAATGAATTAGATCTTCTTTACAAAGATTATCATTCCGATCAGAAGTTCAGCATCACTACTATCTCTCCTACTGGTGTTGTAAGTGTTCTTCATTTTTCAATTTTTAAATCTTTAGTACAATTTATTTGTTAATTTAGTTGTATTTAGTAATTTTTTCATTAGATTAGATCCGTTATTTTTTTTTAAATTTTTGTCTGAAATTTGTTGTAATGTTCAAGTTTAAGCTATAACGTTCCTTAATTTTGTGATTGTGGTGTAATTTTTGAATTAGCTTATAAATGTTTGTTATAGCTTATTAGTTGGATTTGGTAATTTTATGATTAAAATCTAGTTTATATATTCCGATATACTTCTGCTGTTTGCTTGCATTGTGTATATTTCTGCAATTGATGTGCTTGGTCCGATTAATTCAATAGCATATAATACGAGTTATTCTGATATAATGCTGCGATTTGATCAATTTGTGATTAAATTGCTAGCTAATGCTAATAGTTTAGTAATTTTGCTGCTGCTGCTGCTGCTGCATGTCATCGCATTTGCACTGATAGTGAAATTCAACATTTCATTACTAATTTTGATGTTTTTATGTGTTTTTCGCAGGCTATTACTTCAAGTGGAACAAAGAAAGGTGAACTGTTTTTTGGTGATGTGAGTACTCAGGTGAAAAACAACAATGTCACAGCTGATATCAAAGTGGACACCGGCTCTAACGTGAGTTATTTTAATGCTGCAATTTGTTGGATATGATGATTTGATTCATGAAGTATTCTAAGCTGGGATCCATTTTTTTAACTTGAGATTATATTAATTTGGTTTTTTATATCCTGGAGTATAATTATTGTTGTTAATTGTTATTAAGAGTGTAATTATGAAGGAGTTGTTTTGGTGATAAATTAGTTTCTTTGTCCAGATTGAGTTGTCACATCACTAGCTCAAAAGTCAGTGTCAAAGTATTGACTGAATGATTGTTACTTAGAGGCTTCTTTAGAAAGACTACTTAAGAAGTATATCCACAATAAGTCTTATATGTTGTCATTGTCGTTTGGAAGGAAGATTTAGCATATTTTTGAACTGAACTTAGCTTTGTGTAATTCATGCATGCTGTAGCTTAAAGTGCCAAAATTCAGAAGTAGTCGAATCAGGATGACCAATTAGATTGTAAGAGTTATCGTAGGACGAAGGGGCAATTTTTTATACTGGATATTTTGTTTTGTGTAACACAACATGCTATAACTGAGTAAACTGAAACTCACAAGTATATAACCTCCTCCAAAGGAAAAACGAAGATATAGTATAGGAGAATTGAAAGGGAATGGAATCATTTACTGTTTATGCCTTTGTATCTCACTCACGTATTCTGTATTTGCCAGTTGTTGACTACCATCACTGTCAATGAGGCTACACCTGGATTGAAGACAATCCTGAGCTTCAGAGTCCCTGATCAGAGATCTGGCAAGGTACACGATTAGATAACACTTGTATATGAAATTATTAGCATGTAGTATTTTTTTGAGGTTTGAAAGCTAATGTTTGTCTTATGGACAGATTGAGCTTCAATACTTGCATGAATATGTGGGGATATGCACCAGTGTTGGTTTGACTGCGAATCCGATTGTGAATTTCTCTGGTGTGATTGGGACAAATACACTAGCCTTGGGTTCCGATGTTTCATTTGATACCAAAACCGGAAATTTTACCAAATGCAATGCAGGAGTGAGCTTCACCAATGCAGATCTGATTGCTGCAGTTACCTTGTGAGTGGTTTCCTTCTATTACTCTTAATGCTAGTAGTGCAACATTATTAACATATTTATTTTGTTTGAAGTAAAGAGTAATTCTTGTCGATATCGAGTTCAGTTAGCACGTAGCAGAAATTAGAGAATAATATCTGGACAAGGAAAAATAATAATATACATCTTGTCACATATCTGTAGTTAGTAATGCAGTTTGCTATGTTATACTTGTTCAAGCTTGCTATATGCGGAGTACTGTACTAGAAAACAGCATTCTGAATCTACTTGTATCATTTTATACGTAACATTTTACGTTGTGAGATATGGGCTTTTGTAGAAGCATCTGTAGATCTGTTTGACAACTTTAGCATGGAATTGAGAATGACTAAGTTTGACAAAATAAACATGTTCCATATTGTGTATACTGTAAATGACTTGGTAGCATAAGCAACATATATTATAACATATTGCTTTATCATTTCTATCTGAGCTTGACAGCTTTGTCAAATTTTATTATTTATTTATTTTTTATATATTGCCGTTTCTTGGTGCTGAAAAGTGGTTGGTGTTTTTGCAAAGCATGTATATTTAATAAATTATGTGTGGAATATTGTGAAATTAAATCAATTACTTTTTGTTTACTTAGATGACAACAATTGCTAAGAAATCTCTTGTTAATGCAGGAATGATAAGGGTGACAGTCTAAATGCATCCTACTACCACTATGTTACCCCCCTAACCAATACAGCTGTTGGTGCTGAGGTGACTCGCAGCCTCTCAACCAATGAAAACACACTTACCCTTGGTGCCCAACATGCTATAGACCCATTAACAAGTTTTAAGACACGCTTCAACAACTCTTGCAAGGCTAGTGTTCTTGTCCAGCATGAGTGGCGTCCAAAGTCAACAATCTCCATCTCTGCTGAGGTTGACACCAAAGCCATTGAGAAAAGCGCAAAGGTTGGATTGGCATTGGCTCTTAAACCATGAGCTTGTTATACTTACCAATGTTCTGTGTTCTTAGCGGTGTTGACATTATTTCAGGCGGATTAGGTGATTTTGGTCTGTAAAAAATAATATAAAATTCACAAACTCGTGTCTTCACTTGTCAGTTTTCCTTGGTTTTGTTCATTTCCCGTCCATTGAGTTGGTGGGTGACAGTTTTTTTTGAATATTAGAAGACAGAATACTCGAATCAGATTTTGATCGCTGGCTGTTTCAATCAAGAATGCTGTTTCATCTCCTTTAGATTGAAATGTTTGATTCTGTGCTCTTGCTGATTTATTTTATCCACTTTAATACCGTTTTCATTGTGAAAGGATTAATTTGCAGACTAACCTTTCTTAGTGTCAGAGAACAGGTTGAACTTGGAATGTCTGATGTAATGTTATTGTTAATTTTCATTAGGCTGGGCCTTCCCAATTATTTTGGAAGTAGAATCAGGGTCAAGGCCGGGGTCGGTAAACATCAGAAAAGATTGCCATGAATACTCTAATTCTTGTGATAAATTTTCTGACAATTTATCATCTGAGATTTTGTTGCTGTTGTGTTGCGTACTTGCGTTCTTGCCGTCCACAGCAGTACACGATGAGGCCTCCCATGAGCTTTGCTTTGGTAGGACACGGCATATTGGGTTGCCCTAATGGCATAATGGACCTCGTGCATGGAACTATCACAGCTGCAGTACAGCACTACACAACCCTATGGGTCCACCGCTCAAGCCGCAGACCTGCCAAGCTGGAGTTGGGTATCATTGTAGCAACTGTAGTATGATTAAACTCTTAAACAAGAATCCCCCATGATGAGACAGTTGAAAGTCGAATCTAGCCCCCCGCATGCTTAGAAGTCAAGATCACCAATATGCTTCAACTCTTATCCTGCACATTCCTCGATTATATTGTTGATGATGTTATCGTTGCTTCTTTCCTCGTAAAAATAACTTAACATTGCATACTACGTACTTTGTAGTTTGTATATGTTTGAATACCAATTGAAATCAACTCCAGTACTCCCATCATTCCATCAACGTCTAGCTTATCACATAGATTAACCTTAGCTTGTTTTCATCAAATGTCATTTTCACAGTACACTAAGGTGATTCACTGTTTCTACAAAAAATATTGATCGATTCACTTCTGTATTATTGTATTTATGTATATTAGTTGAAACCTATCTGAATTCAATGACGCGCTCTTTACACAAATACACTGATGATTTGTAATTTAGTCTTGATTCTTTTAACTCTGCACATTGGAAGCCACAAACTCCTGCTATATACGCTTTTCCTGTCTCCTCTGTCTTCTCATCTGAGTACTCCGAACATTTAAGAGGCCTGCATTGTATAACAGCACATCAAACAGATTCGATCTTAAACGCTTTCTCTGCTTCCTTCTCATCTGAATATTAAGAGGTCCAAAGAGGCCTGCATTGTACAGAAGCACATGAAACTGATTCATCCGCAACCACTATCTGCAATGAGCTGAGGTCAGTCAACACGACAACCATACACAAGTGACAATATTATACATAAATGAAAGGTGATTACGTCATTTCCACACGAGCTACATAGTATTACAGGAGAAATAAAAGCATTAAGATTTCCAGTAGACAAGGTACTTATTTTACAATGTGGTAGGGGTTTAACATTTAGATTAAGATGATGATGCTTGAAGCAGTCCATCTCTAATCTGCGTGGCAGTGTCACGCACAGCACCAGGCCCATGTGGTATAAACACGGCTGATGTCTTGGAAGCTGCACCAATATCCTTCATGGTGTCAAAGTATTGTGTGACAAGGATCATGTCTATAACATCCTTAGCACTTGTCCCAGGAACATTATCAGAGAAGCCTAGTACACTATCCCTAAGACCATCAACAATTGCCTGTCGTTGCCTGGCGATACCCAGCCCTGAAAGGTACGTGGATTCTGCCTCTCCTTCTGCCTTTTTTATCTGTAAAATCTTCTCTGATTCAGCTTTGTCATTTGCTGCCACCCTTAATCTTGTAGCTGACAAAGTTAATCCCTTACCAGAGTGAGAACACATACATGAAATGGGTGATTCATGAAATAATTCAACAAAAAATTGTATGGTTACCAGCATTGATTTTCTCATGAAACGAATCTACTAAGACAAAAGATGCTAGAGGCAACGAAAAAAAGAGGACAACGAATGTGTTACCAGCATTGATTTCATTCATAGCCCGCTTGACACCCTCATCAGGTTCAATATCAATAATGAGTGTTTGAACAATCTCAAAGCCATAATGAGACATTGCCTGAGAAGAAATTCCTCAGTTTGAGTGTCAGATTCTGTATGTACAGGATTACTTTCTTACTGATGCATGATATTTCTGTAAACTTACTTTTTCGAGTTCATCAGCAACTGCTTTGGCAATTTCATTCTTCTGATCAAATACATCATCTAGATTTAGCCTTGGAACACTGGCTCTAATCACTATAAAATATTAAAATCAGACAGGTTATGAGAAAAATACTCCCCTGTTAGCTTTTGCTGTAAAAAAAACTGCAGTGTTCAATTATGCTGTCATATTTACCGTCAAAAACATAGGCCTGAATTTGAGAGTGAGAATCAGTGAGTTTGTAAAATGCATCATTTGCCTTCTCAGCTAGGACACGATATTGAATAGATGCAATAACATTGACAAACACATTGTCCTGCATAGATCACTCTATACTCATTGTCCAATATCCCTATGCAAGGGTACAGATCGAACACAGTCTACATTAATATACTTCATGCAAACAATCCTAATTCTAATTCAATATGATCAAGCTTTTTTCATATGAAGCAACTCATGTCGGCTAAATTAATAAAACTGACAGCATAGTTGATTCGAGTACTTTTAATACTGAAACACAAATGGTAAGACAGACTAGAGATACTGACCTTGGTCTTGGTCTCACAGCGTACATCTAGCTGTTGTACACGAAGACTAAGCTTCCCTGCGATCTGATCACCGATGAACCAGGGGACACAGTGGCACCCTGGCCCCGGCCCAATACATCATCAAATTTACCAAAGTTGCCCTTAATAGCAACAGTAGATTGGTCAACTTGAACGCAGCAGAACAAATTCCCCATAGTTGTGGTCTATGTAATTCACCTTAAGGTTTAAACCACAGGAAAATATACTCAGTATAAGGGGTTACGAGAGTATTGATCATTACCAAAATTCGAAAATAAATAAATAAATCATAATTTATTGAGAGCCAAGAATTGTTGTTCACAATCATTTACAGTACTGTAAAAAATTACAAATTTAAAGGTGCAATTCACACTTAATCCTAACTATTGAAGCACCAATAACAATGCAATAAAATGATGTTGAAAGTAAAACTTTCGTTGACAAAAATTGTTGTGTAGATAATATCTATCCGTTTGTTGAACGTTGTGTTTTGTTCAAAGAAAAACAGAAAACAAGAGATGATTATACGTTGCAATAAAATACTCATTATCTATTTTATCACCATTTTTTTTTCAATGTTATTAGCTGATTATTGGGGATGCCCCAGTTTCTCATTTGTTTCTGTTGAGAACACCTTGGTTCAGGCCCAGGCCCAGGCCCAACACACAGAAGAGACTGGAGCCCAAGTCTACTGAGTTAGTTAAAGTCAAAGCTGTTAGTTAGTTATAATAACCTCTTTATTTCCTCTGTTAATTTTGTCCTTAGCTAGCATTATAAATACAATAACCAGCTGTAATAATTAGGTACTTGTATTAATTCTCTTTTAATGCTTCAATAAAAATATCTCTCTCTTCTGCTTAAACACTTCTTCTCTCTTACATTTTAATGGCGAAATCAAGGTTTTGACATGGTATCAGAGCTTTAGGCGTCTAGATACTGAAGTTTTTTCCGCAGCATTTTATTTTCGACAATCGAATTCTGGTTTGGTTGTTCTTCTCTTTCCGAATTTCTTTTCTGAATTTCGTCTTTTGATTCTTGAATTGTTATTTGATTCGACTGTTTTCGATTGGGATTTCTGTGCTCAATTTTTTGAAGAATTATTTGATTGTGTCGTTGATTTCTGTATTGGAGATTGAGTATTATTAGGGTTTTTTTGATTGATTGGTTAAATTGAATAGAGAAGCCGTTGTTCTTAATCTGGGATTGATTAAGATTGTTTGGGGATTCTTTGATTGATGAAGTATTGGTTAATCGAAGTATTATTCAAAGTTGATTCTTGGATTCTTGCATTGTTTGGACTTTTTTTATTGATAATTGAAGAACTAAGAGTGATTTTTTGAGGATATAATCAATTCTGTGAATTTTCTTTGTTGTTGAAATATGGCTAGAACGGAAAGTGTTGATAGTACTAGGGTTCTTGAACTTACCCAAGATCCTAGCACAATTTATTACATTCATCCTTCTGATAACAGTACCCATAAGTTCATCTCTGAAGTTTTTGATGGAGAAAATTACTCTTCATGGAAAAGATCAATGGTAATTGGGTTATCAACTAAGAATAAGCTGAGTTTTTTTTATGGAACCTTGCCTGTTCCTTCTTTTGGGGATGATACCTATAAAGCCTGGGTAAGATGCAATGACCTTGTGATAGGTTGGATTCTTGGTGTCTTAGGATCTGTAACTAAGAAGAGTGTATTCTTCTATAAGACTGCAAGAGAAATGTGGAAAGATTTAGAAGAAAGATATGGTCAAGTTTCTTCTACAGAGTTATATGGAATCCAAGAAGAAATCTCTTCAGCCCATCAGGGAACAGAAGAAATAGCAAAATTTTTTGCAAAGATCAAAGTTCTCTGGGATCAGCTTGATGATGTAAATCCCATTCCAGTGTGCACTTGTAATGGTTGTGTGTGTAATGTTACTGGGAAGTTTTTAAAGATTCAGCAAGATTACAGGTTGCTGCAGTTTCTGATGAGGTTAAAGGATGAGTATAAACGAGTTAGAAGTAACATACTGATGATGCAGCCACTTCCTACTTTACCCTTGGCATATGGAATGCTGTTACAAGAACAAAAGCATAAACAAATCAGTGAGCATGCTACAACTGGTACTTCTTCAGAGACTTTTGCATTTGCAGCTGCTAGAAGAAAGTTCAATGATTGAAATAATTTCCAACAAAGTGGTTTCCAGTCAAACAACAGACCAGGATAGAGTAATCAAGCTTATGGTTCACAGTCTTATGGGAACAAAGGTGGTTTTCAAGGAAGGAATAATACTAATGGGTGCAAAGGAAGGAGTATGTTCTTTTGTGAACATTGTA